TGTGTGTGTGTGTGTGTGTGTGTGTGTGTGTGTGTTTCTGTATACCTTTCTGTGTGTGCTCATCTTTTCACACACCCGACTGTCTCTGAAAGCAGGCTGAGCGAGGAGAATAATAAGAACAAGATGTCTGGCGCGATGAAGGTGCTGTTGTTTGTTCTGCTCCTTGCTCTCGTCGCTGTGGTGGTGCTGGCTGTGATAGTGGCCACCAATAAGATCAGGGACGACGACAATGAGCTCATGAAGGACTCACAAGAACTGCCAGAGAGAAGTGAGACTTATACCCTTCATGTCGCTTTTTGTTCTGTTTTTGTTTTTGATTTTGTTTGTTTTGTGTTTTTGTTTTATTGAAATCTTGTTCGAATCCAAGTATGCACAGATCGAACTCTTCAAAGGATAGAGGTATGCTACTCTAACTCTCTAACTATTTGTTTGACAAATTCTTTGCTTTTTAGAACAGAAGTGGTCACTTTTAAGGACAAGTGGGCTAATCTAGATTTCGGGGGTTTCCAGAAATCTTGGCATATACCAAAAGTGGGCTTTGCCCTACCTATAGGAGCAGTTTGGTTTCATTGGTGTGTATATTTGTTTGGTTATATAGAAAACTCTCCTTGCCTCTTAAAGAAACTGAACAAGGGTAAAAAAACTTTACCTTCTATTTTCACAAACCAGCATTTTCGGGATGGCCACCTTGTGCTGAAAAGCGACCAATTATCATAAAAATAATACGCACAACGTTCTTGTTTTAATCTTTGCATGAAAAGACAGAATAGTTATTGTTTTACTTTCAAACAGCAACTGGTATGACCATAGGGCGGAAGGGTAGAAGTTACGTCCTGGTAAATGAGGTGAAAATTACACATGTATCTCTCTCTTGCCTTCTTTAACTCCCAGTGGAACATAGCCCATCAACAACATTTCTCCAACGAAGCCTGCCTGTGCTTTCTTTTCTAGCTGTTTCCATGATGTCCCCGCCTTTTCCATTTCCGCTTGTACCGCTCGCCTCCATGTCGTCTTTTGTCTTCCTTTCTTACGTTTTCCTTGCGGATTCCACGTCAAAGCCTGTCTGATGATGCTTGTCGGAGTGTCTCCTCAGGGTGTGCCCTTACACATGTAGAAGATTTGTTATTACTGTGACATAACGGTCATTGTTGAATGCTGAACCATTAATCTGAAAACATTCTTCATTGGCTCCATACATTCTCTTGACATCAATGCTAACTTTATGATGGCGTTATTTTAAAACAAAGAAAAGAATACAGGCTGCTTTTAAGGACAAGCAGGCTAACCCAGATTTCGGGGGTTTCCAGAAATCTTGACCTATATCAAAAGTGGTTATTTCCCTAGCTATAAGGGAAGTTTGGTTTCATTGGTGTGTATACTTGCTTTGTTATAGAGACAACTCTCCTTCTCTTTTATAGAAACAAAACAAGGGGCAAAAAGCTTTACCTTCGATTTTCTCAAAACAGCATTTTTCGGGATAACCCCCTGTGCTTAAAAGCGACCAATTATTCTTATTCCGCCAACATATAACACACGGGATAAATATAGGAAGAACCGGGTAAACTTATTTAATTTTACAACGTATATAACATTTCCATCTAGATGTAAAATAACGCCATATTGCAACATCAACGCATTTAATATTCTCCGTAAGGTTACTCGGTATGGGTCTTGGAAACGCCATAATATTGATATATCTAGAGCTCATTTCTCAAACGCATTTCTGCTGTAACTTACGTTCAAGTATAAAGTTTACAGCGACTATAGGTATGTATTAAGATATGACATACATATATTATTGAGCGCTTGCCTTTTCAAAGAGTGAGCTAGCTAAAGCTGCAGAAGCAGTCAAAGTAATTAACCAGCTCTCAGGTCAGGGATCGAAATTCTTGGCAAATTTGCTGCATATCTTACAACCAATTTGGCTCAGTAGCTTGATAGTAGTGTGCTATCATGGATGCGTGTGATACATGATAATGTGTGATTTCAACGGCCTTATCAGTTCGCAGGAGTTTTTATTTATTAAAAAACAACAACAACAACAAATCTGTTTGATAAAGGCGTATAGCCAAAGTTTCCAACCTCTACGTCTTTCTAATTACCTAAATCCCCGACGTCTCTGGAAACGATACTGGGACTGAGTACAGCAGTTGAAATGATTAGCTTTACATTGTAGAGAAAACACAAATTAGAGTTGGTTCTGACAGGGGTGGGTACCTGTAATGTTATAATTAGCAAAACAATATTTGTGGAACAATGTGCAGAAGAGCAGAAAGATATGCATTTATGCCTCATTGATTACTCAAAAGCTTTTGATACGGTAGGATATGATGAACTACTGAACATTTTGAAAAAGATAAACATTTTAGATTAATTTAGGGGGCTCTCGTAGCCTAGAGGTTAAGGTGTTGGCCTCTCTTTCAAATGTCCCGGGTTCGAATCCGGGTAGCGACCGAAAAATTTTCTTCTCTAAAATTGTCTCCTTTCACCTCCTTTCCTGCTTTCTAGCAATATTCTGTCCTCCGCTTTCGTCTCCTCTTTCTGCCCTAACCCCTCACCTCCTTTGCCCCCTCCTCTGGGCTCCTGACTCTTTTTGCAGCTTTTCTATTGCTGCTCTTTTTCTCCTTCTTACAGCTGTCTTTCTGCCACACTCCTGATCTTCTGGTAGGAAAGATCTACGCCTAGCCTTCTCAAGGTTGAAAAATCTCGGTGGGCCCGTGTGAAAGTTGCGCACGTTAAAGATCCCTTGGTGGTCTATAATCGATAAGAGTAGGCTTCGGCCGCCACCCGGGTAAAATTCAAAATTTCCTTCCAACTAAAAGTATTAGGTGTGTCCCGCGCGCTCATATGACCTTATGCAGTTGCGAGCGCCGTAAAACACTTACCAAAAAAAATAAATAAAAGAAAATTAATTTAGATGATTTTTATGTTCAAATCAACGTAATTTAGATCATTTAAGATGCAGTCTTGAACCCTGGCAAGAGGGCTAACCCAGGCTGAGAGGGGTGTAACATCCAAGCAGAAAGACCGAAATAATTATGTGAAAGTTTCCTCATTATAATATCGTTTTCGGGTCTCCTGTTTGCGACAACAGCGTGCCTATCAGGTACAGCCCAGATGACAGACATATATTATGTAATTGATCTAATAATTATGTAGAATTTGTACTGAGACCTGTTTGTATTGTCATTCATCATCTTCCAGTGCCAGATCTGTGACAGACATTGGCGATCATGGTTTTCCATTCATTCCTTTGCTCAGATGCTCTAAAAAAAAAGCTACGTTTCCCTGATCTTTCCCTGTTACCCATTTGTTTAGGTTACCTAAGTATGTTGCTCTGGGCCTACCCCTGCCTCGCTTGCCCTCAATTTTGCCAGTGAGAGCTACATGTTCAAGACCCTTATGTCTATTCAGGTGTCCCAAAAACTAAACTGCATTTGTCGTTTCCTGATTGTTTTTAACATTGAGCGTCCCACGTGGGCTTCAGGCCAAGGTCGGCAGTGAGAATGGAATATTTCCTTCAATTTCATGATTTTCTGTTTATGCAATATTATTATTCTATATCCACTTGCTCATCTTGGGAATTACATTCTAGAGCCTAAAACTGTCTATAAGTCCATGAAAATGCAACCTACAGACAGGCAGGCAATCACATAACTCACAGTTTGTCCTAAAAGTACGGCTAAAATAGGCCTTAGTTATGTCGGTAAAAATAAACGCTACAATGTAAAATTTGGTCTCGATACAAAGGTCGTCTTCTCCTCTTCAAGAACTATCTGCCTTGACCTTCTGTGTTGTTATTTTTCATCACAAAATTCATGCCACTCAAAATGCAAATGAATGTCTTCATAGCGTCATACGAAACCATTGCTCGAAGGTTAAGTTTACCTCTTCCAAGAAAGTAAAGTTTTCTATGCTGGTGGCCATTGCTGAGTTCAACCATGGCCCAAAAGGTAGCAGTATTGTGATGGAGCTGTATGGTCAGAGAGAGAGAGAGTACCAATTCAGCTTGGTGACACAACGGGCAGCAATTCGGATTGCTTGAAGTCAAAGGTATGAGGAGGAGAAACTGTCTAAGAGAAGGTCTTTGAGGCACATGGCATGAACTAGAAGGAAGGGGGGAGTTGGAAGAACTTGAGGGTGGTCCCAGCCATGCTGCTGGCTCATTTTAACTAGTATTTTTGGGTTGGAAACATCATGACAACAGGCAGGAGGCAAGTGCACTTTTGCAATAAAAGTTTATTTTCTCAAAAACCAAATTTTCTCCATTTGAAGTTACAAATCTCCTATGTGGTTTGTGTGACATGCTTTAAATTTGCACCATGTGTTTACTAGCATCAAATACAAATTTTGTCTCATTCATATGTATATATGGTGCAAAAAGTTTTTAAAACGATTTTTTAATGTTAGTAGAGAGCTTATAATTGCATAATATACATACACAAGTTTCAAAACATCGTAAAAAATACAGCCATTCATTTAGTGAACTGAAAATCAGACAAAATGTGCATGATGTTAATGATAGTTAAGTATGTGTGCCAACTTTCATGACTGTTGGGTGGATAACGAAAGAAAAATGTTCCATGGAAATATACTAAAAAATCCAAGATTGCGACTGTTTTTTCCCGTTTCCATGGCAACCAAAGATTTTTTCGACAAATGAAATGTATCACAATGTGAAGAAAATCTCTGTGGGTTATGGTTATCACAAGTAAGTAGATGGGAAGTTACCCGTCTAGCTTTTAGTTTTCACTGTAGACCTTGGCCTTAAGCACTACCTCATTTGATTTCTTTTCCTTCAACGCTTCAACGATACTATTAGCAGTCTCCTAAGAAACCACATTTCTGTTGCTTCTATTTTATTTTCACTGTCTTTAGTGATTGTCCAGCATTCACAGCCATTTAGAAGGGTTGGCCAAACACAGCATTTCAGGACTTTCATTTCGGGGTTCATTGAGAGGTTTCTATTTTTCAGGATTGGGCTCATTTTTATCTAAACTAGCCTTAGCCATTGCAATTCTCCTTTTTATTTCTGTGAAATATTTGGCATAAGATGTTATCATATATTCTAGATATTTAAACCGTTGGACTTGTTTGATCTTTTCACTTTTGCTAATGAGATTACAACTAGGATTTGCTGCTTTTTTATATTACCATGCATACTGTTTTCTTTACATTCAACAATAATCCTTTACGTTCACTTTCTGTTACAACAGTATCTAGAAACAATTGAAGGTCCTTTTCGGAGCCTGCTATTAAAACTGTGTCATCTGCATACCTGATGTTATAATATTTTCTCCATTTACATTGAGACCTGGACATTCTTCTATGTTTCTAAGGATTGTTTCACTGTACATGTTAAAGAGGTCTGGCGATATAACACTTCCTTGCCTCACTCCTCGCCTAATCTGCTTATATTCACTGTATTCTCCATTAATTCGTACAGCAGCGTTTTGGTCCCACTACAAATTTCTGATATTTCTTAATTCTTTTCCATCTATGTCTAGATTTTCCAGTATTTTAAAAAGCTCATCATGTCTAACTTTGTCGAACGCCTTTGAATAATCTATGAAGCATAAATACAGATCTTTCTGTGCTTCAATACATCTTTTCATTAACATTGTTAAGGTGAATATAGCATTTTTGGTGCCCTTGTCAGGAACAAAGCCGAAATGCGTTTTAGATATCTCTGGTCTTACACTTTTTCTCAATCTTCCCATTATTACTCGCAGCAATATTTTTGTAAAATGACTCATAAGGCTAATTGTTCTATGCATATCACACTCAGTGGTACCTGGTGCTTTAGGTAAAGCTATAAAAAACTGACTTCATCATATCTTCTGGGATCTCAACGCTGTCATAAATAGCATTTAGGAGCTTTGTGGTTATTTCAGTGCCTAGTTCTTCAAGCGCGACGACCACTTCAACTGGAATATTATCTGGCCCTGTGGCTTTTCCTTGTTTCCCTTTCCTAAAGTCGAACAACTGCAACAGTTCAACATATATAGGATTTATAATTATATCCGATGCCAAATAATATCATAGAGAAATAAAACGAAAAATTGCAATACTGGGTATAAAGAGATTTTTTTAATATTAAAAAACATTGTTTGGTTGCTGGCCTGCAGAAATGCCATGCAATGTTTCGTTGGCCTAGGTAAAATCCTCAATGAGCTAGCATTTTTTAAGCTCTGTCGAACGAAAGTGAACAAGCCGAAGTAAGTTATTTAAAAAGCGGTACCTACTAGTTTAAAGTCCATCTCCAAAAAGACCCATCCAAAATGAATTGCTCTTGAAGTGCCTTTCCCAAGGTCACAACGTCGGTCCGAGCTGAGACCGCAATATCACGACGACGGGTCCCGAAGCCTAACCACTTGGCTGTTTTTGCTTTAGTAGAGGTTTTACGGCGCTCGCAAATGCATAAGGTCATATGAGCACCAACGGGTGGATGTCAACAGAGAAGTCCTTACAGAGAATCAAGCTTACTCTTCTCACCTCTAACTTCAACAGCACAAAGTCTGCTTCGACTATCAAGGCACCCCGGAAATAGCAGGTCACAAGAGTGTGACAAACATACAAAAGAAGTAGAGGAAAAATGACGATAGTAAGGATTAGGAAAGAAAAAGCAGCAGTTCCCTTTTGCAGTTCAGGCACAGTTATGAGCATGACACTGATGAATCAGCCCATTTACTATTCTATTCTATATGAACATGTTAATGCTCCACCTTTTGGGAATGGCCTTGAGGCACTTCAGCCAGCAGCACAGATTGGTTTCGTCGCTGGATAAAATAAATTTGCAGATATTGCTGGG